GGATGAAGAAATTAGGTGCAAAGGTAATTAGTTTTGCTAAATGGGAGAAGTACACAAAACAAAGCAAAGTTGTGACTGAAGTCATGATTTTATACATGACTTGGGAGGTATTCTTTAGATTTTGAGACACCATTTAGAGCTTTTGTGTTCTCGTGTTCGTGCATGAAAAAGTTGGGATCAAGAAGCTTGAATTTTAAAGATATTTAGAGCTCATTTTTTTTTAGTTTTTTTGTTCTTCTTCCCTTTCCCCTCTTATAATCTGATATGGGTTTGAATATTTCATATACTTGCATTGTAGATAATTATGAGTAGTTAAACACTTTGCTCTAGGATTATTTGAAACCCTTCTATAGATTAACACTAGTTTTCTCCTCTTTTTTTGTAATTAATGATATATATAAGTGTTTATTTGGAACCCTTGCATGGATTCATGCCTTTGTTAAGAGATTAGGGGCATGTTCAGCTCTGGATGCAGAATTATAGGGTGCATTGTGGGCCATAAAGATGGGAAAGGAGCTAGGAGTGAGCAAACTATTATTGAAGGGGATTCTTCTCCAGTTATCAGCATGTTGAAGGAAGTGAGGGAAAGGGGTAATGCTTGTAAAACGCTGGTATTAATGATACAAAAGGAATTGATGTGCGATTTGCAAATTCGATTTTTGCATGTCTATAGAGAAGGGAATCAGGCCACTGATTGGCTTGCTAACCATAGCTTTAAATTTGATTTTGAGGTTGTTTATTTGAGGAGCCTCCTTGTGATTTACAAAATTTGATGTGCAGTGACAATATGAGTGTTACTTACTCAAGGAAAGTTTGTTGATTGAATAATACAGGCAATTGCCCAATTTTTACTAAAAAATGTTTTCAAGTGTATGGCCACCACTTAGTTGATCTGTTTATTTTGGTGATACTCGAGAAGACGAACTTGAATATATAATATAACAACCCAAAATATAACACATTTTTCATAAACATTTTAACAAAATCATTTAGTTTGTGGAAATAAGATCTCAAAATCATACATTGGACCTAGGGCATTTGAAGCCCCACAACAAGAACCAACAAGCCCAATAACATATCCAAGTACAATCTGGATATCATAGTCAATAAAAACAGGGCTTAGCCTAAAATTTACCAAATCTGTTGTCTGATTTCTCGCAGCATTGAGTTTAGGTTTTCATTGAAGATGGTGTAGTTGGATACCACGAACTGGTTCTTTGGCCTGCACCCTCTCTTTAGAAGATTGGTCTGAGGGTCCGAAACGATGCTATTAAGAATCCAGCATGATCAGAATATGAAGATAAATAAGGCAAGGATATTGGCACACTGAATCATCACTTTGCGGAGTTTGGTTGGAAATATTGTATCTGATGGGTGGGCTCTATGGGAAAGAGAGTGAAGATGAAGCATGAAAGAGAGGCCGTGTGGTGTGGTGTCTAGCTATATCAATGAACTATATGATGTATACTCAAAGGAAGGACATTGGGATCTTTAGTTTGAACTTTATAAAGTTGCCTCTGCTAGTTTTTATGTGGTTTGCTTTGTTGATCTGGGGGTTCTTTTTTGGGGCTTTTAGAATGGTTTGTTCTCTCTTTTGATAAGAGCGCTTTTCATGGCTGCTTATGGTAATGCAAGTCTTTGGACAATTATCCCTCTCTGGCCACTATCTAGATGCTCTGGTGCACAAGGAATTGGTCATTGAAGTGTTGATACGTAGAGCGTGGAGATGTGTTTTCCTCCTATTTTATTGTTTGGTTGGGTTCACGTTGGGTGTTTATCACTGTACTGACATCTAGACCGTCCAAAATTCATTTGGACAGCATTTAAAGCTTTTAGTTTGTGACTTTTCAAAATGTGATAGTTAGAAAATTTTTATTATTTTAGATTCAATCTACATGGTCAATATTTGCTATGAACACTACCCTTTGATTAGCATGCATGAAATGCATTCCCTGTTTCGTGGACTTTACTTTGTTTTAATTTATTGTTTTTGATTTTGGTTCCTGGGTGTTGCATTGGGGTTGTTTGGCGTTTTACCCTTTGGACTCTGGTTTGGATTTTCTATGTTCAATTAATAAAATGTTAGTTTCCAAAGAAAGCGAGTCCAAATAATGCACCATTTGCCTGGTCACTGTGAAGACGTGTTCTTTGAAGTTTCCATCAATCATGTGGCGCATTATTATCCTTCCGATCAATTGTGGTCCGTATCGAAGAAAAGGGTATATGGAATGGGAAAGAAAAGATGAATAATATTGTTACCTATAGTTTTTTTTTATATTTTAAAAATAGTCTTCCAAGCTTTATTCAACTATTTTATTAAAAAAATATGAACAATAACACTTTATATATAAATTATTTTTGGAATCATTTAATTTGAACTATATTTTTACTGTGCACAAAAAGTTATTGAAGTTAAAAAATAATGTATTATGATACTTCTTCATTTTAATAGTACATTGATGTTTATGTGTGGGGTACATGTGCCAATATGGGCAATGAACTAAGTTGTGTATTCTGCTCAAGGGAAGGAATGATGTCTGAAGACAGGAAGGCAATTAACTTGGTGTCTACTAATGGAGTGTAATGATAGAGAATTGGATCGTTAGTTTGAGCTTTATAACAGTGCCCTGAGTACCAAAGAGTTCAAGAGCGGTTAAAAAAAGTTAAGCTAGCGTTTCATAGATAGATTTGGATTTAAATTTTAAATTTATATATTCTCATATTTAAAATCCAAGAGGTTGAAGTTATTTGTATGGGTAGTATAAAAATTTCACATCAATAAAAATGAATTGTCCTACTTGCGTGATTTGTCCACATGTTGGGGTAATGTTGCAAGGGGATAGTTGAAATTTGAAATAATTTATGTATTAGATATTCCAAATGGTTTACATTAATCGATGCTAGCAATGATGTCAGAGAGAAATAAAATGAGGAATATACAATTTTTTAAGGTTAACATATAATTTTGCCTCTAAACTATTTTCAAAGGAACAATATTGCTCCTAAACTATTCATCGTAATAATATTATCCCTAAATTAATTAAATCGGAGCAATGTTGCCGCCGCCATTTCAACGTTTATTGCTGTAGTTAATGGAAACTACTCTTCATGAGTTAAGGTATAATTTTGCCCCTAAACTATTCTCAAAGGATCAATATCGCCCTTACCATTTAAAAATTATAAAATTAAATAAAAATAAAATTATAATAATATTAAATAAAATAATATTAAATGTGTATATAAATATAAAATTATAATAATATTAAATAAAAATAATATTAAGTTTATATATAAAATAAATATAAGAAAAAATATAAATTATAATTTCATAACTTGTTAAATATAAGTAGATCTTAGTTAAATTAAATATAAATAGATTTAACAATCAATTCAATATTTAATAACTCATCCTAAGTCATAAATTCAACACCTCATTCATTCCACTCTTCCAAAACATCTCAAACATCAACCTCAAAATCCCAAATCCACAAAATAATCATTCTAAACAAAATTATTATGATTCATGCTCAAGAATATCATAGACCAATATTTTTAAGTCCTAAACATATGATGTAATTGGTGAAAAATTTCCAAATCTCAATATAATTTATATTTAATCATTTCAACACTAATGTCTATTTTTCTTCAACCCAAATTACTCAATGAATCCCAAATTATTCACTTTAACAAACCTTCCCAAAATTCTCAGACCTAGAGTCTCATATAAAATTGTAACTTCAAATTTAACTAGAGCATTAAAACTTCAATAATACCCTAAACAAACCCAAATCAATCATCAATATCTAATTTAATCACTATAAGGATCATATCTATCACAAATCAAAGACTTTTTTTAATTAAAGTCCTAATTTATTTTTAAACCCTCAAATAATCAATAGAGAAAATCTAAACCAATAGAATTTAAGTTTTAATTTATCTCTACTATTTTATAGTTTCTGTTTGTTAAAATTTAATACTTACTCTAAGCCCTAACTCTAAAATTTACTCTACCGTTTAAAATATTACTACCATTAAAAAGTCCTCAATGAGTGGAAAAATATTTATGAAAGGAGTTTTAGGAATGAGGGATTTTGCATAAGAAATCTTACCCCAAATTTTTTCTCGTCCCGATTCACGGACGCGGAACGCTGTTCCTCTTCGCTTTTCCTATCTCTCGCATTCCTCTGACGCGGACGAGAAATAAGGGACTTGGGAGTCGGGGTATATTGTTTTGGGGTATATGTGGGAGTGGGGCACGTGACTTCTCCCATTCAATCTTCAATCTTTTTATTTTTTAAACAGTGCATTCCATTCACACCATTTTCTTCCTCTTCTCTTTTTTTAATTATATCTTTTTTAAATTTCATTCTATTATTATTATTATTATTATTATTATTATTATTATTATTATTATTATTATTATTATTTTCTAAAAATATTAAACGGAATGTATACCTTGAGTTAAGCCCAATAATCATCTCCCTAATTAATGTAATTACCTTCATATATTCTTTTTAATTTCTATTAACTCTGACTCTTAAATTTTATATTGGGATATTACATAGCACTTAAAGTTTGCATGTTAAATGGATAATTTTATTAGTAAAATAGAGATATACTTGCTAATCTTGTATAGCCACATCAAGATTAGAGCTTAAAATTGTAACAAGGAAGAGCAATTAATTAAATTAAACATTTATTTGTGGCTTAAGAGAGCTTGTTCAAGTACTTTTTTAGAATCTCAGGTTAACAGTTATTTTCATTAAAAATATTCATGAGAGGAGATAATTTTAATAATATGAAATGTAAGAGGAATGCATAATTGTAGGCCCAATTTGTACTTGAATTTTAAGAATCATTTGCTTTTCTTTATTTTCTAGTTTTAATATAATTTTCAAAATACGTTTTATCCAATCAATTATGTTTTGCTCAACTTGATTGAAACTGCAAAGTCTTTGGCTTAACTATATTTTTGATACAAATATATGTGGAAACGATACTTTACTTTATATTACTTGCTATGACCCATCACTTGCAAAGCGTAACAAAGGGCAAAATAGGAAAAAAAAATAAAGGCTCCATAATTTTTCCACTTCTTGATTATTCAAAACTCAAATTCACTCATAACCACACATTTCCTGCAAATAACGATTATAATATTGCTGATGGTATAGAACTCAAGGCATTGGGCGTAGGGGAAGCGAAAGAGGCAGTGGCGTATCCATGTGCTTTTAATTAGTTTCAAGCAAGAGAGGCATAGTCGGTCTTACGTTCTCTAATAAGCCCTTGTTTTGCAGCAAAACAATAACTTCAGACATTGTTGGCCTTATCGCAGGAGATGCTTGAGTGCAAAGCAAACCAATCTCTATGATTTTCTTCACTTCTTCCACATCATACTCATTAGGGTCTAAGGTACTGTCCACTAACTCTAAGTGCGTGCTGCTCTCGTATAGTTTCCATGCCTAACAAGTGGGATTCAAAAGAAATTATAAATTATAGATCCATCAATAAATTAAAAGGCTTAGAATTGAAGTTGGGAACAAGCTTTGCTGCATTTTTTCCAAGCAAAATTGGGTTAATAAAAGTGTTTTATTCATTGTTGTTGCTACAATGGCTTGCTATATTTGGAATTTAATAAATCTTAGTGTTCTAGAATGCCCATTCTTCTCAATTGCAAATTGTGATGAATGTCAAGGCTAAGATTTGCTTTAAATTTCAGCCATGTCCTCCCAATAAATTAAGACTAATTGAAATAGATTTTCTTAGAACTTCTAATATTGTGTAGGATCCATTATTCTTAATTTTGTAAATTATAGTGTATATGTTTTGCTGTTGTTGAGGTTTTGAGATAGATAGCTATGAACCCTTCTTAGAAGGTGATCTGTTTATATATTTTCCTTTTTCAGTGTATATGTATTGTTAATTGTTTTTGGAATGAATTGACAACCTCACAAAAAAGAAAAAACAAATAGAGCAGCATTGTTTTTAAAAAAGTCCAGCATCTAAACTTTGAATAAAAATAATATCACATTTAAACTGATGATATGCATAGTTTCATACCGTTTGAAGGAGGAATTCACCTTCAGCATCACCATCAACTTTCAATTCTTTACTTTTTCTACCACTAATAATTTTCAATACTACAACACCATAACTGTATATGTCAGCTTTTTCTGATAATTGGCCATAAATTATATACTTAGGTGCTGTATAACCTCTGGCAAAAGCATAATATTTTTAAATTGATCAGAATATAATGACTCATACAAAAATACATCAATAATATCTGAAATAGACATATGCAACAGACAGAATTGCAACAAATCTTCATGCTATATATATATATGGAGGCACAAAAAAATGTTAAATTTCTTATTTCAGTTAGAGGAGTGTTCCATTGACTGATATATAGATTTTATCAAATTTCTTTGATAATCTTCAATTCTAATTTATGTACTATATAAGGTATGAAAGTTTCATAAATTCAAAAATTACAACTTACAATGTTCCTGCAAAATTTGTGCTAAGATGAGATTTGTTGTCTGGTAAAAATCTTCCCAGTCCAAATCAGCAATTCTAAGTTGCATGTCATCATCTAGGAGGATATTGTTGGTCTTTATGTCTCGATGTATTATACAAATGTGAAATTCCTCATGTAGATGAGCTAATCCACGTGCTGTTCCTAAAATTATATCATATCGTTGCTTCCAGTCAAGAGAACCTTTCTTTTTTTCCTGTTTTACAAGTTTACACACTTTAAACAGTATAGGAAGTAATGAAGGGGAAAAACATAAAAGTGAGAGTCAAAAAGTTTCAATAACAAAACAATAGATGTTTACTAACTTCATCAAATTTGTGAGTCATGAATATATCTTGGTTAAAGTCATGCATATATTGTCATGTCCACATTTCATTATGCTATGAAATATTGTGGATGATGCATGTAAAAAGCAGCATATAAATTGTTAGTTGATTGAAATGTAGTACCGAATAAGAACTTTTCAAGACTATTGTTTTTCATGTATTCATAAACAAGGAATCTGTCATGGCCTTTACTACAACATCCCAAAAGTCGAACAAGATTTCGATGATGAACATTATTTATGAGCTTCACTTCACTTTCAAAATCTTCGTCCACTCTACTCAAGTGTTGAGAAGTTAATTTCTTAACTGCAACTGCTTTGCCATTCCTTAGCGTGCCCTATTGAAAATAATTAAGTTCAATCATGAAAATATTGTTTATTGCATTTGCCAACACTATGTAAAACTCATAGGACACATCCCATAATTTGAAATGTGGTGAGTATTAAATATTGAAAATAAAAATGAAGTTACCTTGTATACAATACCAAATCCTCCTTCTCCTAGTTTATTTTCATCACTGAAATTTTTGGTTGCAGACTTCAAATCCTGATAACTATAAGTAACTGGGCCTTTCAACTTACTTGTTTCAGTTATATCTCCTGTGAAGAAAAAGCCTAGTCAAAATCTCTTTTCTTAAATTTATGGGGAAAAAACCTGTCAGGATTCATCTTTCACAGAGATGAATGTCCATAACTATTTCTTTTGGGGAAAGGTGAAATTCAAAGTATCTGTATCATTAATTACCTCTAGGAACTCTCTTGGGGCTTTTTGGTCGTCTAATCCAAGCAAATAATGCAAGGAGGATCAGAGCAAGTGCTACGCCTCCAACAACTCCGCCAATAATTGTCGCCTTATTGCTTGATGAATCTGCAATGTCATGAAAATTACACACACATGACAATCAAATGAGTACTCACTCTCCATGATTCACTGCCACATCTAAAAAGGAGTTATAATTCAGTGCATTAAATGTTCTTACACATTCTTTCATACGCATCAGCAAATCAAATTGTCATTGTTCTAATTAAAACATACATAAAATGAGGATTCAAATTACACACAAATACGAAAAATTAATTTGCACGTTGCGGTGTTTTTGTACAACCCCAAGATGATTAAATTAATGAATCCTTGACATAGAAGAGCTTTACAAAATTCTTTGAATGAACTGTACCTGGTTTGACCAAGGGAGTGATATCAATAGTCTGATTATCAGCAAAGAAAGAAGTGGTTGAATATCTCATAAAAGAACCAGCATCAAAAGCCCTACCCTCTGAATAGGTAAAGCAAATCTGCATATTGCTATACCCAGTCGTTACGAAATCTAGACAACCACCTTGCGTGACAGTATTAACACACTGGGCAAAGGCATAAATAGTTTCACCATTATTAGGCACTTGCATCTTTGTGGCTGCAAAGAATCCTGAAATTCTGGGTGTTGCTGTTTGGAGATTCATTAGCAAATTTTGTGCAGTTTCAGTGAATGCAATGGCTTCTCTGGCATTCTGATCACCATACAATACTTTAGTCAAAGACCCTGTCGTCTCGCCATAGAAATCACCAGCCTCGTACCTCAACACACCACAGTATATATCCCATATCATTTTTACATTGTATGTCAACCTCTTGTGAGAGAATGAATATTTCTTTTCTTTCTTTTAATCTTTCATCATTGGATTACTTTGATATGCTTGAAAAATTTATTGAATAATTGTGATAATTAATATTAATTATTATATTGATTAGATGGTACTCCCTTTGATCTTAGTTATAAGGCAAAAAGAGAATTTTTTTTTTATTTATTTATGAGCCATATCATTAAATTTTTATCACAAATTTTTTATTTTACCCTCCATTAATTGTTGTGAAAGAAAGTATATTATTAAAGTATTTATGTTTAATAAGGTTAAAGTTGAAAACTTATTAAATTTATGGACAATTAAATTAAAATTTTCTTAATTCCCGTGTGACACGTTGGAAGTAACCGGTAACTAACACTAGAGAAGTATAGATTAATATAATTTTGGCAATAAACAATGTGTAAATAGACTAGATTTTGTCTACGAATAGTTTGAAATGAGTAGATTATTATCCATAAATTTATATTGAATAAGACAAATTAAACAACTTACATCGTACGTACACCACACAAAGTAATCAACATAGCAAACATGAATATCTTACCTCCACGCTCAACTTTTCAAAAAGAAAAGTCAACTATGGTGGACTAGTTGTACCTGAGGAAGCAGCCATCGTAGACGACATGACCACCGTAGGACCCGGCGGAGCAGTTGCGGATTTGTTCGGCAGCGATGTCTAGGCACCTGCCACAGTCAGCAACGGAGAGATAGTTTCTGCATTGGAAAAGAGTGGAAATAGGGCTTCCTCCGTTGCCTCGCCGTGCGGTGGCGGAGTGCTTGTTTTGATCACCGATCTGTTGTTCGATTTCTCGCAGCGTTGAGTTTAGGCTTTCATTGAAGATCGTGTAGTTGGACACCACGAACTGGTTCGGTGGGCTGCACCCTCTCTTTAGAAGATTGGTCTGAGGGTCCGAAACGACGCCATTAAGAATCCAGCATGACCAGAATATGAGGATAAATAAGGTAATGGGACACCGAAGCATCATTTGGCGGAGTTTGGTTGGAAATATTGTGTCAATTGGGTTGGCCCTGTTGGGACAGAGTGAAGATGAAGAAAGAAAGAGAGGCCGCGTGGTGTCTAGCTAGTGTGTTTGTTTGGTTTGTTGATCTGGAGGTTCTTTTGAATTTTAGAATGGTTGTTCTGTTTTTTGACAAGAGTGTTTCATGGCTGGTTATGGTAATGCAAGTCTTTGGACAGTTATTCCTCTCTGTCCACAATCTAGATGCTTTGGTGAACAAGGAATTGAAATAATAAATTTATTTTTTTAAAAATGTGATAGTTAGAAAATTTTTATTATTTAGATTCAATCTAGCTATATGGTCAATATTTGCTATGATCACTACCCTTTAATTTGATAAGCAGATGGAATTTATTCTCAGTTTCGTGGACATTTCTTTGTTTCTTTTTATTTTATTTATTTTGTATTCTGTGATTTTGGTTTCTGGGTGTTGCAATGTGGTTTGGCGTTTTATCCTTTGGACTCTTGTGTGACTTTCCTATGTTCAATAATTAATAAAATGTTAGTTTCCACGTCAAAGAAGAAGAAAGCAGTCCCAATTAATGCACCATTTACCTGGTCACTGTGAAGACGTGTTCTTTGAAGTTTCCATCAATGATGTGGCGCATTATTATCCTTCAGATCAATTGTGGTCCGTATAGAGGAAAATGATATATGGAATGTGAAAGAAAAGATGAATAATATTGTTAGCTATAGTTTTTTTTTATATTTTTAAAATAGTTTTCCATGTATAGAGCTTTATTCAACTATTTTATTAAAAAATATGAACAATAAAATTTGATATAAATTAATTTTGGGATCATTTAATTAATTTAAACTATATTTTTATCATGCACAAAAAGTTATTGAAGTTAAAAAAACGTATTATGATACTTATTTTAATACTAAATTGAATTTTATGTGGTGTGTGCCAATGGGCAATGGAGTATGTGGTGTATACTACTCAAAGGAAGGAATGATGCTTGAAGAGACAAAGGCAACTTGACGTCTAGTAGTGGATGTAATGATAGAGAATTGGATCTTTAGTTTGAACTTTATGAAGCGCTGGGTAACATCGGTGACGGAGTCAAAACACTAACTCAGGGGATGCAGTTTAATTTAAAAATATTAATATTATAAAAATAAACATTTAATAATTGAAAAATAATTATATACATTTCAATAATAGAGGTGAAAAATAATCACAAAAAAATTAATATTTTTTGATTTCATTTTTAAAATTATATTGTTGAGCAAGAAATAAAAAGTAAATAATGAAAAAAATCATTGTGAAAAATTTGGATTTGATTTTGTAATTAAAAGGTAAATAATGATTTTTTTTATAAAGGTTGTCTCATGTATAGTAAGAGTTTAATATTTTATATTAAAATTCATCACGCTTAAACTAAATTGTTATGGGTTTGAAAAATTTGTAATTAATATATTTAGATTTTAATCAAGACTTGAGTAATCTCAAATAATTAGTTAAAGATAAAAGTGTAAAATACAAAAATATAAGGTGTGATTGTGTAAAATATTAAATCTTCCATCATATACTTGTAATTTTAGCCAAATTGAGGGGGTGCATTCCCCCCCCCCCCCATAAGACGTGGCTCTGCCACTGGCTCGCATAGAGTTCGAGAGTTAAAAAATTAAAAGTTACTAAGCTAGTGTTTAAATAGATTAGATCTAGGTTTTAATTTTATATCTAACATCCATCTATTTAAAGTTATTTATTTGGGTAGTATAAAAATTCCACATCAATAAAAATGAGTTGTCGTACTTGTGTGATTCGTAAGCATGTTTAGGTAGCATATAATTGAAAGAGGATTGTTGAACTTTGAATTAGGTATTAGAAATTTTCAATGAATTATTGTAAAAAATTTGGTCTAAATACAAATGGGGAAAAGCTGATTGAAAAAACTACAGACTATGGGGCCGTTGGAGTTGAAATTATTCTTATATACACTTTTACATTTACTTTATTTTAGAATAATTGTAATTGTTATTTCAAATGGTTTGCATTCGATGCTAACAATGATGTCAGAGAAAAAGAAAAGTGAGGAATATACTTTTTTTTATTTAAAACAAGACAGGCCATCAGTAGAATGGACTAGAAACAGTCATAGGCCTGGCTCAGCCTTGGAATTCTCATATACCATTAATTAGTTTCAATCAAGAGAGGCACAGTGGGCTTCATATTCTCTAATAAATCCTTGTTTTGGGGCAAAACAACTACTTCGGACGTCATTGGTCTTGCTTCAGAATAAGCTTGAGTGCAAAGCAATGCAATCTCTATGACTTTGTTCACTCTTCTGCATCATACTCTTAGGATCCAAGGTATTGTCCACCAACTCTATGTGCATGCCTATCTCATATAATTTCCAAGCCTAACAATTTGACGATGAAAGAGAAATGGAATGAGAAGGCGTATTATAATAGGTTAGAGCAAAGCATATGTTAATGTTTTCTTAATTATTTTTCTCTAATTAAGAACTAATAGCTTTGTCAAAAGAGTTGAACTAAGCTGCTAAAGCAGTCTTGAATCTATCTTTTTTTTTTAATAAAAAAGGCCTCTTTAAAAATTTCATGGGAGTTTTCTCAATTTTTGAAGAAGGAATTCACCATCAATGGTTAATTCTTTGCTTTGTTGACCACTAATGATTTTCAAGACTACAACACCGTAATTATAGATATCAACCTTTTTTGATAATTGGCCATGAATTACATACTCAGTGCCATGCATCCTCTGACAAATATGCAACATAAACTACAATGATCAGAGAATTGTTTCATAAGCACAAACACAAATATTAATTAAGAAATTCACCAAACAAAATCGTTCTTTTAATATATATATATATATATATAGAAACCAAAAAAGTATGAAAACATGCAAAATAAAGTATTGCTTCATGTCCCATATCAATACAAATTCTTTCTCGATGCATTCATGCAATATGTGTGGGTGTGGGAGAAGAAAGAAAAAAAAGTTAAAACTATTTAGAGGAGCAATAGGATGTTCCATTGACTTATCAATATCTTCAATAATCCTTGTATTGTACAAGACGAGGCTAGAGTAATTAATACTTTTCCCTTGATTTTATGCCTTATTTATTTATTTATTATTATTTTAATTCCTAATTAAACAACAATTTATAGTGGTCATTAATTAATTACAAAGAAGGGTAAATTTGGAAAGTTGCAAAAAAATTTTCCTACAATTTCATGGTCATAACTTACATTTCTTAATAAGCGTGAAATTTAGTTAACTTCATCTTATATTAAAGATTGGATGAATACAAATACAAGTTAAGAAAATTAAACAAATATTATGTCAACTTATAATGTTTCAGCAAATTTGGTGCTCAAATGAGATTTGTCCTCAGATAAAAGTCTTGCCAATTCAAAATTAGCAATTTTAGGCTGTAGGTTATCATCTAAGAGGATGTTGTGGATCTTTATATCTCTATGTATGATATGAACATGAAATTCCTCATGTAGATAAGTCAACCCCCTTGCTGTTCCTAAAATTATATTATATTGTTGCTTCCAGTTGAGAGAACCTTTCCTTTTACCTATTTTTCCAAATTTACACAAGTTGAAGGATATGATTAAAAAGTAGGGGCATACATAAAAGTCATCCTCAAAGGGTTTCATTAAGATTATGACATGAATAACTTTTTTGTCAAGGGCGTCAAAAATATCTGGTTTAGTAAAAAAAAAATCCAATAATTACTACTTAAAGAAAGACACATCATTATTGCGTGTTGAAAGGAACTTACCAAATAAGAATTTGTCAAGACTGTTATTTTTCATGTACTCATAAACAAGAATTCTGTGTTTCCCTTTATTGCAACATCCTAGAAGTTGAACAAGATTTAGATTATGAACATTACTTATCAGCTTCACTTCACTTTCAAAATCTTCCTCCATCCTTGTGAATTGACGAAAATTTAATTTCTTGATTGCAACTACTTTCCCATTTTTCAGAGCACCCTACGCATGATGATTAAGAATGTTAATCCTGAAAGTGTTTTTTGAAAATATAAATATGCTGAAAATCGTAATAAACTTACCTTGTATACAACACCAAACCCTCCTTGTCCTAGTTTGTTCTCTTCACTAAAATTGTTGGTTGCAAACTTCAAATCCTCATAACTGTAAGTAACTAGGCCATCTAACTTGCTTGCTCCAATTATTTTATCTCCTGTTCAGCATAACATTAGTCAATATCAATATATATGTACATTCCTTGCAGTTTATACCATAGAACATTTTCTACAAGCTATTGTTAGACCAAGTAAGACATTTTGTAGTTTTAAGAAATATCTTTCCATTTTCCCGTTGTGTTGATTAATACATGTGCGGAGTAATTATGTATAAGGAATTATGGATGCATGTTAGTTGTGGATAAGGATAAAACTAGAAAATAACAAATTTTTTGCGAGATTTTAAAAAATTGATTTTCTTTAATATGTGTGATACATGCTGAAAGTGTCCTACATTATATTGTGGACTAGCTAGAAGTACTTGTAATTTTTTTAAGAAAAACTACTAGGAATTGATCACTACCTATAGATGGTCAAAGACTACTTTTTGGATGCAGAAAATGAAAACCAATGTATCTCCTTAATTATACAATTAAACGTGCATAATAGTTGAAGACTTTCCAAGTCATTTACCTCTGGGGGTTTTTGATCGTCTAATCCAGGCAAATAATGCAAAGAGGATCAAAAGAAAAGCTACACCTCCAACAACTCCACCAATAGATGTCCCCTTTCTTGTTTGAGCCTTCAAGGCAGGAAAATAGAGAGCTCATTTTCAAATGAGTCATAGTGTTTTTGTTCATAAAAGATGCCTTTAAAATTTATTGCATGATATACATATGCAAATTCATATTATTGCGTTTGTATTGAATTTAAAAATAGTTTGGTTTATGTAATGACCTAAAGTTTTTTTAAAAATAATAATAATTAATAATAATATAATATAATAAAAAAATAATAATGGATAATTAAGTTAAAATTTATATAAGATATTTAAATGTATTTTTATTAATTTTGAAAAGATATAATAAGAAGGATTGGGTGGAAACTATCTTAGTGTTTAAAGGTTCAAATCCTCAAGAAAACAAAAAGAAGAGGAGTTCATTATCATTACTATTATTTTAGCCCTTATGAAACTACCCATTAGCCAAAACGTATCGTCAGACAATTTTTCTCTCCTCTCCACTGACTTAATTCTTTGCGTTCTGTATCTAAGAGAACCTAATAATGATTAATAATTATATAGTAATATCAAATAATATCTCCTCATAATGACTGAGATATACATACAAAAATGATAGAATATTTAGAGAATATTCTAGATAACATCCCTCTCAAACTCAAGATGGTTTGACCGAGAGCAACTTGAGTTTGTCTACTAAGAAATGAAAGCAGCCTGGATGAAAAGACTTTGTAAACAAGTCTTCCAATTGATGCTTGGTTCGAATTGGAATGAGTTGGATAGTGCCCCCAACAACATGCTGTCGAGTGAAGTGACAGTCAATTTCAATATGTTTGGTTCATTCAAGAAACACATCATTGTAAGCAATCTTGATTGTAGCTTGACTGTCACAATAGATGTTTGTGGAGGAGCTTTAAGATGCTCCTAGCTCGTCAAGTAACCAACGAAGCCAAAGGACTTCAGCGGTTATGTCTACTAGTACACGATATTCTAATTCAATACTGGAGTAGGAGGCTAACGTCTACTTCTTACTTCTCCAAGAGATAAGAGAATGGCGGAGGAAGATACAAAAACCAGTCATAAATCATCGATCATCACAATCACCACCCTAATCGGCGTCGGAGTAAGCTCGCAGTGTAAGAGAGGAACTAGTAGAGAAGTGAAACCCATGATATAAAGTGCCTCTAATGTACCGAAACATTTCAAAGAACTACTGCATAATAAGTAGTTCGAGGCTCTGACATAAACTGGCTAACAATGTAGACTGTATAAGAATGTCAGGGCGAGTCACAGTAAGATAAATAAGGCCCCCAACCAACTAGTGGTAATGGGTGAGATTATCCAACAAGGTGCCATCAGTGAAAGTATAGTAAACATTTGGCTCATGAATAAGAGTACTTTCAACCTCCTCATAAAAAAGATGAGCTTGAGATATCAAATCAATAGCATACTTGACTTAAGAGAGAGAGATATCATCTCTCCTATGATGGACCTCAAGTCCAAGAAAATAGTTCAAGTTACCAAGATCCTTCATTTCAAATTGCTGCCCCAAGTATATCTTGAGCTCCTGGACTCCTGTATCATCACTACCTGTGATAATCATGTCATCAATATATAACAACAACAAAATAATACTACGAGCAGTAGATCGAACAAAAAGAGCTGAGTCGTGAGGATTACAAGTGAGAGCCTAGCTGACTCATAATGTTACTAAACTTAGAAACCATGCATGAGGAGCCTGTTTGAGCCCATATAAAGCTCGACGAAGGTGACAAACCTTATCTTTTGGATGCTGATACCTGAGTGGAGGCTTTATATACACTTCTTCCTTTAGATCTCCATTCAAAAAGCATTTTTAACATCCATCTGATGAAGGGACCAGTGCTTAACAGCAGCAATGGTTAGAAGATTGTGAATAGAAGTTATGCATGCAACAAGTGCAAAAGTCTCCTCATAATTAACATCATATTCCTGTGTAAACCCTTGGGCCACCAAGTGGGCCTTACATTGCTTTAAAGAGCCATCAAAATGAGTCTTGTTTTTATACACCCATCGACAGCCAATAAGAGTTTTACCAGAAGGAAGGTCAATAAGATCCCAAGTGTGTATTTTTTCCAAAGCCTGCAATTTTTCGTTCATAACTTGCTGCCATAAGGGATCATAAGAGGCTTCCTTAAAGGATTTAGGTTCCTGTAAATGGAGAATAGTGGAAAAATAATAGTAATCACTAAGGTAAGAGGGAGGGTTTTTTATACAGTGGGGCCAAGTATCGTTAGACAATACGAGCACAAGAGACGTGGCTTGTGTGGAAACATCTTGAGGCGTGACAGTAATGAGCTCTACAGGGGAATATGCATTAAAGTCACTTGGAAAAAGATCAAGCGAAGGATCTGTGAAAATAAAAGGTGAAAGAAGAGAAACAGAGGAGAAATCAGTTAAGGATGAAAACATCATAGGTTCCCAAAAAACAACATGATGAGAGATTCTAATGCGAAGAGATATAGGATCCCAACAACGATAACCCTTATACTCAAGGTCATAAACAAGAAAACAACAAACATAGGCACGAGCTTGCAATTTGGTAGTTTTATGTATAGGGAGAAGAATAAAACAGACACAGGCAAATACTTTCAAAAGACTATAATCAAGAAGAATATCATGAAGGACCAAGAACTGGGGTAGGACCTCTATTTATGCAATAGGCAGCTGTTAAAGTAGTTTCCCCCTAGTAATGTTTAGGACAGGAAGAAGAAATGAAGAGGGCTTAAACTGAGTCAAGAAATGACAGTGTTTTCGTTCAGCTCGGCCATTTTGCTGAGAGGTGTAAGGACATGAGTATTGGGAGATTGTACCCTAAGCATCAAGAAATTTGAGCAAGTTAGAATCACGGCATTCTAAGGCATTATCTTTAGAGAATTTAGTGTAAACTATAGTAGCAAATTTAATATAGATATCAGGCAACTCAAATTGACTTTTTGTCATGTAAATCCAAGTATAATGGGGGAAATCATCAATAAAAATCACAAAATATCATGAGCTTCCTATAGAGGGAGTGGGTGCTGGGCCCTAAACATTAGAATGAACTAAATCAAAAGACTCATTAGCAATAGAGTCATTTTTATTAAATGATAAAGTAGGCTGTTTAGCAGTTTGATAAGAGATACAATGTAAAGTCTCAACATCAACGTGTCCTAAAAGACCAGTAGAAAGTAAAGGACGTAAAGCAATTAAAGGCAGTAGGTAGACTGGAAGAGCTGGAGATAAGCTTGCAAAGTAAAGACTCAAGTTCAATAGTAGAGGATCTTAAAGTAGAAGCAGCAGCAATAGGTGGCTCATCAATAATAGATAGAACAGGCTTGGATGATGACGAACCAGACTTGAATGACCTCCCTTGATTAGGTTTGGGAGGTCAAGTGGGGTGCTGATCAATAAGATGCCCAGACTTTTGACAATAACGACAAGTCAAAGAAGGACAATTCACAGCAATATGTCTTTTTTTCTGGCAAGTTCTACATTCAATATATAGACACTAATCAAAAGTGTGAGTAGATTGTGGGTAGCGACGATAAAGCTTAGAATTCTTTCCAGGAGCAATGAAAGCCATGTCAGGGGATCATTAAAGAAGACCCAAACGAGTTTCCTTGGAACGGAGATGAGGAAGAGCATCCTTAAAAGTTGGAAGTGGGCTTTGGTACAGCAGAAAGGCACGAACAAGCTCAAAATCGTTAGTAAGAGCCATCAAGAATTGTATAAAACGAAGTTGATCTCACCACTTGAAGAAAACTTTAGCATCCTCATCATTTTTTAAAAGTAGGCTCAAAATAGGCTAGTTGGTCCCAAATAGCCTCTATCTTAGAAAGAAACTCAAGCAACGGTTGACCTTACTTCATTTTGAGAATAGCCAAGTCCTTCTGCAATTGGTATTGATTGGACAAATTAGAAGAGGTGTATCAGCTAGCAAGATAATCCCATACCTCCTTAGTAGTTTCGAAGCGCCCCAACTATTGATGAATACTAGCAATAGAAGTATTTCGAAACTATGTTATGATTTAATTATTTTTACTATCCCAATCATCCAACCGATCAGTAAATTTTTGGTCATCTTCAAAAGAGGATCTAACAGGAAATGAGACATCTCTAGTAATATATCGCCAAAGTTTTCTGTCTTTCAAAAAAACCAAGCATACCTTCCATCCATAAGCAATAGTTAGGACTGGTTAACAAAATAAAAAGAGGTTGAGCAACCTCAAATTTTGTTATTGAAGAATAAGGGGTAAAAAATAAAATAAATAAATAAGAAAGACCAAGAGGAGACGATGACTAAACGAGAATTTTACGGTAAAGCAAGAATCTCAAAATAAAAGAGTCTATATGGATTGGCTTAATCAGAGAGAGAAGTTCCAAAAATTTAATGAGGAAGAAGACAAAATAGATGCTAGTTTAAGGGGAAGAACAAAAAACCAAAGGAAAGGAATAAAACGTGAAGGCAAGATAGAAAAGCCAAAGAGAAAAGGTATAGCAGGTCCCACCGGAGATGTGAAAGCTGAAGGAAGAATTGAATTCTAAAGGCACGAGAAAAAAAGAGCAGCCAAGGACAGTGTCAGGGATGAAACGAGCAGATGATGAAGATGCAGTACTAGAAGAAGGAGCAAAAAAGAAAATACAACTCTGGTACCATGAAAGAAGCAAGAGAAATATGGAGAAATATCTTGTCTATTATTGAGCTGAAAGGTACAATATATACATTAAGAAAAAGACAACCTAATAATGATTAATAATTACATAGTAATATTAAATAATATTTTCTAATAATGACTGAGATATATATACAATAATGATAGAATATTTAGAGAATATTCTAGATAACATTTGTGTTGGAAGAATTATTGCTGTAGTAATGAGTGGCTTTGAACTCTCCTTCTTGATAATCTAGTGTGGATGTTTGAACTATTGAGATTGTGATTTTCCCCTTCCTTTGCTACTATATATGTTCGAATAGAGAATGAGGGGTTTAGACAAGCTGAAATTTTCATATTATTAGAGCTAGATACAGTGTGGGTTTAAATTTTATTTGAGCATTGTTTGGATTCGGTTGAAAGAATAAAATTTAGGAAGATTGATTAATCTAACTATTGATATTGAGAAACTTTGGAAAGAAAGTTGGAATTAGAAGAGGTTTGGAAGAGAATATTTTCATTAATAATTCAAGTACTAAATTGCTATTTGTGTATTAATATTTGAAATATCTAAGGAATGTTGTGGTTACTTTGTTGGATTTGTAGGGAGCCTAATGAAATTTTATTTTATATTACAAGGAGATTGGAAAAGAAAAGGACTTCTTGTTATGGTTTAAGCAAAAGTTCCTATAAGATGTTGGATATAAAGTATCTGTTTGAATGAGTGTCGTTTGGTTATGAATTTTTTTGAAATTTTATTAACTTTTACAAGGACATATCTAGTTTGGGTGTCAATTATTTATGGATTTTACTTGAGCTTTATGAAAAATTTTGATTGTGAAGCTACTATAAGACTAACTAGATATTGAGATGTTGTATGGTTGGTGATCGTAAATAACAAATGATTTAGTGGCTATGGTGTGACTGTAATATAAAGGTATAATTACTGGCTAGAGAAAGAAATAAAATATTTTAAATATGGTTGCTAGGTTAGGGATAAATATTGATTGAGAAAAATTTTATTAGTTCTTGACAAGATAATGGGTTGATGAATTTTATTGGTGGTATATAAAGTGGAGTTGTTGTTAAATAAAGTTATTTTATTCTTCTTAATTAGGTAATTAGAGTAGCCAAAATGCAACTGAGAGGTGTTTAGAGGGAGCAAATTTTTGTCTTGTGAGCTTTCTAGATAAGTAAATATTGTCCCAATAACTCGTTAACAAACTTATTTTTATGAAAATATTGATTTAGCAATTCATGTGCTAACTCTTTTATTTACAAGAACAAATGTTAGAGCTTTTTTTACTTTATTTTATGGTTCATGATCTCAATTTTATTATCAACTATCATACATGAAAATGTTTTCATTATACTATATTTTATTATACTAAATTTTATTATATTATACGATAGAAAGAGTTGGAGTCATCCTTTAATTGAGTATCCAAAAGTATCTGCTACATTGAAAATGTTAATTTTATGTTTTAAGAACATGCATGGGACTTATGTACAAATGCATTCATTTATATTGAGCTTGATGAGAAATTTTAAAAAGAGATAATATGTTGATTTTTAAACCCATGCATGCTTGATTTGAAATGTGGGATTTAATCAAAATGCTGATTACTAATGGCAATACCGTTAGTCTTTGGCGTACCATGAGACACCTAGCTAGCAGGGTGCTTAGAAGGTGCTAGTCCCGTGCGATTACCAATGCATATGGAATGGAGGGATGATTATTCATGAGCATAGTACTCACGCTTGTTTTCGTGGGCCTAGTGCTTGCACTTGATTTTGTGGGCTTTATGCTCACGCTTGTTTTTGTGGTTTCAAGCTATGCTTGTTGGTTATTTGCCCTCGTGGATTGTATATTCATGTTTGATAATCGTTCTAATCAAGTCCTACTGAGAGGGAATTTTGAAAATTAGTTTTTCTTAAAGTTGATCTTTAAAGCAAACTATTATTTTACCATATCTGGATTTTTATATTAAGCTACATAATTTCCAAAGTGTTTTAACATGTTGATCTTTAAAGTGGATCTTTAATTTCTAATAAAAATTGTAATTGAATTCTCACATTTATAGTTTTTGCATTTATATAACTGTTAATATATATATATATATATATACATGTATAGAGGGTATGTGCTATATTATTTTCAATTGATTATTTTATTTAGTTTATAAGAAACTCATTGTTGTATCTTTCATTATTTCAATCAACTGTAATTGGGACGTTATTCACTAGAATATTATTTTTGGCCTCAGATAATATAGTTAACATTGTACGTCCTGCTGACTACTAAGAGACTTTTGGTTGAGTAAGGTCAAGATTTGCTTATAAATATTTCTTGTGATGTAATTATGAAATTTATGTATTATGTTTTGAAATATGGTTAGGCACTCCACATAGGCTATAGTTAAGGTCCTTATTTAGTTATATACTTTGTCTGCTAGCTAAATGGAGCTGTGCTCCTGATTTTAGTAATATTTTACTTGTAAAAATTATATTATAGGATTCTTGGGCAATTATAAGGGAGGTGCTGTCAAAATCATTACAAAAATAATTTTTTTTAAAAAAATTAATTATTACCCAAGATTTCCTAAATTCACTATAAATTGAATTAAGGTTCAAGGGATATGTATATTTTAGACATGTCCCATGCCGGTCACTCCTATGTTTCGGAGCGTGACAGTTTAATAGATTTTACATTCTACTCCTCTCATCTTATTTATAGAGCATAGAAAGAAGATTAATTTTGGTCCTATAGAGCATTTTTTTATTCTCTATATTTATCTTTACTTTTCTACCTTCATTAAATGTTAGGAAAAATTATTCAAAATAATTCCTTTCTTATTAGAGGTAGAAGTGAAACTTGTTAAATTTTAAGACTTGAGTTAATAAATTTTAAGGATTGGAGGGAGTATATTGATTATTTGTTATGAAATCAATGCATATAAATTAATCTATTAAATTAATCATGTGCTGTTTAATCCAAAAAAAATCATGTATTATGCGTTTTTGAATAGGTAAAAATTAAACTCATTTATATATCAATTTTCTTAATTACAACTTCCAGTAATAAAGCCAAAAAAAAAAAAAACACCTAAACTCAGTCCCATTCAAGAAAACATATTCGCATGTCTAGTCATGCACTGACAAATTAGGGAATATATAACAGGATATAGTTTTCTAAATACACATAATAAGCAAATCAAATTGTGATGCTGGAATATTTGTATTATACATATCGAAATCTTTGAATTAACCGTACCTTTTGTTTGCCTAATAAGGGAGCGACCTCAATGGTCTGATAATTATCAGGACAGAAGGAAGTGGTGGAGTATCTCATGAAGCATCCAGATGCAAAGACCTTACCATCAGAATTTGGAAAACAAGTAAGCATATTGTTATACCCGCTGTTCAAGCAATTGAGGCACCCATTCTGTGTGATAGTTTCAGTACACTGAGCAAACGCATAAATAGTTGAACCATTCTCAGGCAATTCTGCTTTTGTGGCTGGAAAAAACCCTTGTCTTTTGGGTGTTGTCGTTTGCAGATTCATTAGAACTTGTTTCCCAAAGGAGTTAAATGCTGTTGATTCTCTTGCAGTTTGATTACCACACGTTACGGCAATGTAATTCTCCATTGTCTGGTCAAAGAAAGCAATGGTCTCGAACCTCAATACACAAAGTATATACCACTTATCATTGATAATTCCAAGTTCAATAATATACAAATTTTGCTCTACATATATACTAATCAAAATACAAGTGGCCTACTTATGGAGGTTGGGTCTAGTGGAATAGACTAGTTCTACACAACATGGTGAATCAAAAGGACACCTATAAGTAATCAGCCAAAAAAAAAAAACACAAGCTGCCTCACCTCATTTACGTGCCTATTAACTTATTACTTATTAGCACAAAAAATATAAAGTAACCAAAGTTTATTTTGTCCGCTGTCTCCACCTTTTTTCTCCCTGTTATCTCATGGTTTGAGCCTGGACCCCTCTACTAATTGTTTCTGTTTAATCAATCAACGTAAACTACTGCATAATATAGCAATAAAATATTCAGGAAAGAGAAGGTCAGACTTCAACTTTCCTGGGAAAAAAAGGAGGGAGGAGAAAGGAGGAAGAAAACTGAAGTGGTGGACCGGTTGTACCTGAGGAAGCAGCCGTCATAGACGACACGGCCGCCTTGTGCTCCGGCAGGGCACTGGAGGATTTTTTTGGTGGCGGTGTCGAAGCAGGTAACACAGTCATGAATGGAGAGATAGTTTCTGCACTGAAAAAGACAGAAACTGGGTTTTCTGCGTCGGCTTGCTGCGCCGTCACGAAGTACTTGTTTTGATTATTGACGAGCTGCTCTCTGATGTGTCGAAACGTTTTGTTGACGTTGTCGCTGAAGATGGAGAAGTTGGACAAGACGAATACGGTGGATGGGGTACACCCTTGGGCTAGAAGATTGATCTGTGGGTCCGAAACGACGACGTTAAGCGTCCGCCATGACCAGAATATGAAGGTGATTAAAGGAAGGGAATTAGGTGGCAGCATTTTTTGTTGAGATGGATTATGTGTGTAGGGTTGGCTCCTTGTAAAGAGCGAGAGTGAAGATGAAGGAGAATGAAGAGGTCACATGGGTCGTCCGTCTTCGGTCGACCTGAACTTAATGTCGTCGAAGATGGACTTGGAAGACTGCATTTCTTTTTTCTTTCTTTTGACCTGATCTTGGAAGACTGATAGGAGGAAGATAATTTGGAAATTTCAAAACAAGGACCCAACGAGAGAGGATTCGGCTTCGGTTCTCATCAATTGACAAGCATCTTTAATTACCGTCGAGATTTTCCGGTTTTATTTTAGATGTATTGAAACAAAAATTATAAAAATTTGAATACTTCCTGATTATATGTATAGAGTAGAGAGAGAAAATTATTTTTGATCCTTTTTATAAGGCATTTCATTATTTTCTATATTCATCTTTGTATTTCTATCTTTATTAAATTTTATGAAAAAATATTAATAATAATTATTTTTATTTTTATTATGAGGTAGAGGTTGAAACTTATTAAAATTTAAAATAGAGTTGATAAATTTTAAAATTTTTTTATTCTTGTGAAACATACTGGAAATGACTTATAAATATTTTATATTTATTAAAATAAAATTTTATAAAAATAAAAAATTAAATAATTTTCTTATCATCAATTTAGTCTGAATTTAATTTAATATTAAAATTTTTATAATTCTTATATACTTTACATAATCCACATTTAATACTAATTTTTTTATAAATTTTTATTTTGATAAATATAATATCAAAAATTAAAAATATATAAAACTGGAAGTTTTCAAAAAATTACAAATTAAAAATTTTAATATTAAGTTTGCACTGTATAAAATACATCTAAATAGTCAATATATAAAAATTATAATATTAAATCTAGAGTAAATTGGTAATAACAAATTATTAAATTTTTTTATAATTTTTATAAAACTTTAGTAAAAATATAAAATAATAGTTTAAACATGGTATCATATTGATGTGCGCGATAATCAGTCTCAAGATGGACCTGAGAAGATTTGCTCAAAAAAAAAAGATGGACCCGAGAAGACGCCAGCATTCGGGGAGAATTATTTCAAAGTGCCATCCAACAAATAAAAATATGTTAAAATCCCACTAATTACACAAATTATTATATAGTCCCAATGTTCTTAGATGTAATTAAATTTTTCTGTCCATTTACCCAACTACTCTCCTCTCTCTCAATCTCTAACGCCATTACCATTCTACCACCTCCTTCTCCATTAAACCCTTTCCTCCTTCAAACCTCTCTCCCTCACGCAATTAATTTATATTTACAACTATTTGAATGATATGTTTTTAGTATATGGTACATGGATAACGTGACTTACTAGATTCTAGCAAGAATTTTTCTTATTTTAATATAAACATTTTTTTAATATAATTAATAAAAAATAAGTTAAAATAAATTGTACTGAATATATAAAAATATTAGTTTATAGAAATACAAAGTGCCAACGATTCACATTTAGACTAAGTGTTCCTAAAAAGCAATAAAAACAGTGGAAGGAAGCAGAGGCACTGCTTTCTTTTTCTCATTTTTGTATCTTGTCAGTCGTGGAGCAAGTTGGAACATCTTGGAGCAATTGTCTTTACTGCAGGTTGGTTTCTCTCATTTCTCTCCCTATGCATTTTTTTTTTTTTTTGTGATATGTGTTGAGATAGTTTGGAGTTGGCTTCTCTCAAAGAGAAGCCTCCTCTACCTCTTCTTTAAGGCAGAGGTAAATCTGGACCGTTTAGATTTAATCTTGATGGTCCAGATTTAATATTTTTATTTTTAATTTTTAATTTATATTTTTAAAATAAAAACATATAAAAATTTTAATAAATATACTGACAATTTAGATTTAATACAAAAGCTCTAAATTTAATATAAAAAAATTTAAATTGACTTTTTAAGCATATTCTAGACAGTTTAAATATATTTTGAACAAAACAGTAAATTTATTAAAAACTTTTAATACTAAATTTAGAGCATTTATATTAAATCTGGACTATTAAATTGATAAGTATATTTATTAAATTTTTTTACAATTTTTATATTTTTTATTTTAAAAATATAAATTTAAAATAAAAAAATAAAAATATTAAATCTAGACCATTTATATTAAATCTGGACAGTATAAATTATGCCTCTGCCTCAAAGGAGAGGCAAAGGAGGCTTCTCTCAAAGGAGAGAAGCTGTGCTCAGATAGTTTGGTTAAGGTTGTTTATTGATTGCTCTAGCAAGTGCATGGGATCGATATGATAATAATATAATTTCTAGAGTATTTTAGGAGCCGAACCTAAGAAAAAACAATAGCTTTGTTATTTAATAAAAATAATTTTGAAAAGAGATTTAATAACACAAAATGAAAATAGTGATAAAGATCAATGAACCAACCAATTAGACAAACGTCAGGGATCAAGATTGTCATGCCCCAAAAAAATAAAGTGTGACCCACATAATATATGCATGCAAACCCATATTTCCTAAGCCTTAATTCAAGAAAGTCAAATTTCAAACCATAAATACATTTAACATATTAAAACATAAAAGAAGTCCAATATCTAAAGATTAGAAGATAAATTATAAATATATAAGCATATGAAGTATTTAAACAAATGGCTTAAGTTATTTTGGTAGAGTATATTATCTTAAGCATACTTAATATGAGAAATTTAACATGGTATCATGAGCCATTTGATTGAAGACAAAAAATAAGGAAAAAAAATAAAAGAATGAAAGATAAAAAAAATAAGAGATTAAAAAGAGAGAGAGAGGAGGAGGAGGAGGAGGAGAAATCCAATAGACTTCAAGCTCTGTCATTGAAAAAAGGTACAAGCCTAGGCGAAAAAAATGAAAAAAAAATAGAGAAAAAAGAAGTAGCAGGGGGAATATTGGAACATAAAATAGGTCCCACATCTAAATATAAGAAGATAGATTATAAATAAATAAATTTAAGAAGTATCTAATTAAGTAGTTAACTATTTTGGTGAAGTATACTATCCTTAAGCATAGTTAATATAATAAATCTAACATAATATATCAATACAATTTATTTTTTTAATACTTTTTATGCAAACAAAAGTAATATTTTTTTTAGAAAAATTTGTAGAACCTGTCCTAAAAATAAGACTTTGTGAAATTTTACAACAATAAAAGATAATAACAATCAAACAAAAGGGCTTTGCTCCTAACTAATGGATATACAATCTTATAAAAAAGATGAGAATCCTACCTATAGTACATGTGGAGGGCCTACCTATGACCCAAGTAATGAAAATATTACAAAGTTGAAAATTACATCAAGTTGATATTTGTTTGAAATAATTCCTAAATTTTAATTCAATAGTAAAGCTTCTCAATAATCAAACGAAGATATAGGTTTAGAAAATTTATCTAAGGTCAAAAATATTTTTTCAGTGAATAACATTGCAAGAATAAAATTAAAAGGAATCAAGATGAATAAATTCAAATAATTATATACAAATTAGAGAACAATCAATATAATATAATTACTGAACTTGGAGATTAAGAGATTTTATATAGCTTCAAAAATACTAAATCATCAAGTTTACAATAACAAAAACAGCCTTAACACTAGATCTTTGAAATAATAAAAGAATATTTACTAATTAAAATTAATGAAATGTATATTCACAAATAAATTAAAAGCTAATATTATCAAGACTTTGCATAACCGATAGCAAATGTGGACACATGGTCTAGGATGATAAATAACCAAACATGTTTTACACCATGAAAATATATGTGGACATACAGTTCATGAGAGTAAGTAACCAAATATAGGCTAAGCCATAAAAACAAATGTGGATATGTAGTCTACAAGGATAATACTAACCAAACAATGCTCAATGCCATGAAATCAAATACAAATACAAGATCCATGAATAAAAACATAAGTGCAATGCTCACAAAAGTTATACTAGCTAGTTATAACCATAACACGTCAAAGGCTAACAGAATTGCCTTTGATAACTAGTGTTCTACATATAATCCTCTCAAAATCAATTTTCAATCATGTGATAACATAATCATTATGAAGCTAAAGTTTTCTATTCTCAATATCAAACTCTAGACTTACCTTTATCAAATAATATATTTTTAGAACCAATAAAACTTTTTCATCAACTTTCAAGGTATATTTAATAATGAAAATATACATGGAAATATCATAATTTCAATATTTTTCACCATACAAATAACGACTTCACAAGCAAATGGAATATAATTAACAAAATATTTAAAAATAGGGAAACTCCTAGCTCAGAAGAATTCATTTGGACTCTGTAATATACCTCCTAACTTTCATATATGAGATTGGATGATTTGAGAGACTTTTGAAAAGTTTATTTATAATTATTCCATCCCTCTTGGGCTTAGAATTCGAATAGATCACGCCTAAATCTTATTTGATTCTTTAGTATTTGATATATGATTCTCTTAATTGTCCTCTTTTCTTTCTTTTCTTCAATTGATTTGTTCTTTTTTTTTTATCTACACATGATATACACACAAGAAGAAATGAGTAAATTTTATTATAAAAATTCTTCTTTATCTTATAATTTAAGTAATAAGGGGAAAATATATAAAAATTAGTTAAATAGGTGTAAAATATTAATACATATAATCAAATATTATTCAAAATCTATACCTATTTATCTATAATATATGCTTTTATCATTTATGTTTTTACAATGATACAATGTAGCAGCAAATTATATATCTGAAGATCAATATATATGGATAATGAGGGTAAAAGGCCCACGAGAATTTGATTACGAGAGAACATCCACTCTTCAACTATATGTATCATCATCACTGTAAGCCAATGCTTAATCTTCATCTTCAACTCTCATGTTTACTATTTGCCCTTGGATTTTATAAGTGTACGAGCTGTGATAAGTAATAAAATATATAAGTAAAGTATTGTTCTCTAGAAAATTTGTTTTCAAAATATGATCAAACAAAAGACATTATAAATTCAATTAAGTTGAGAAAAGCATAATTAGATAACAGATTTGATTTTGAAAATTATATTAAAACTAGTAAAACTTAATTATATTACAATGCTATAAAATCTGAACGTTGTAGTGGTTTTGACCTAAACTGTTACAATATTGTAATAGTTTGACCCATGCCTTTTGGTCAAAAATATTGTAGCAGTTATGATAGAGGTTTTCGTGTCACAGACCATGACTAGGATGGTAGTAGTTCACTGAAACCGTTACAATGGAAGGTGCCAAATGGCATGAAAAATTAGTAGTGGTTTGGATGGTGAAATCGGTACGATATTTGTAACAATTTGTGACCCAATACTACCACCACATTGCATTGAGTAATAGATAGTTACCTTGGTGGCAGTTCGCGTAGCAATTCACTACTAAACTTCTACCATTTTGAAAATGCATTAATGACCGTCTTACTCAGACATTAGGACTTTGCGGTTTGGGTAGCAATTTTTGGCATAAACTGCTATATATAGTAGCGATTTTGGGGGAATCGATACTATTGTCATGTCTATATAAACATTCGACCTTCTCATTTTTCCATTTTTGGAAAATTTTTCTCAAACCTCTACTTTTTGTAATCTCTCGCGCACCTCTGTTCACAATGTTTCCTAGAATGCTTTCCCTCTTGCTCTTGATGTTCAACTTGGATAATATTTTCAATGGCAACGACCCCGATGAGTGGCCTTAGCAAGAGGGTGTTGAAAACCCTAAGGAGGAGGGGTTCTCGAAAGTGCCTGACTAGATGATTGAGGAATTTCTAGATTAGGAGATATCTGAGTTTCTCAGGACCAATAACCAACTAGCACGTAAAGGAAGGGCTAGAGTTATGATGCAAGGTAATTAAACAATAACTTTTTCTACTTAAATTTGTTTAGTTATTTTATTTAATTTATTTTTAAATTTAAATATTTTTTACAGCCCAATGACAATACATATGAGAGGATATTACAGGATCATGACCTGTGGACTGATGAGGTGGAAGCTAGCTAGCTAGCCATTCTCTCAATCAGCAAAATCTACAATGTTTTGTTGATGAGACTTGGGAAAAAATATAATGTTTTTCCATTGATTTGCCTACTAGGAAGAGGGTTGGGCAGCAGGCGAGGAGGAGAGCTGGGAACAAATTGTGAAGATGTTTATTTATTTACTATTTTATTTTGTTTTAGTCAATTATATTAATATATATATATATATATATATTATTAATAGTATTTATCTACTAATTATATTTATATTTTTATCATATTTATTAATTATTTCTATGTCATTATAATTATATTTATTATATCTATTTAATTATGTTATTTAAAAATTATATTTAGTTAATTATATTTTTTATTGATAATTATATTTATTATATTTATTTAATTATAATTATTATTATATTTATTTAACTTTTATTTATTTATTTATGCACCAAAAATTTGTAGTGATAGACAATCAAAAGTTGTACTCACTTTATAAGATGGGGAATTGGTAGAAGAATAGTGAAATAGCTAGAGCCCATTAGGTTTGGTTAAAATTACCAACTGTATATATATAAAGAGTCAAAAACTTCAACAATTAGGCTTATTTGGGCTGGGTTTATTTGGATTGAACTTAAAGTATTCTACCTTTTTAAAAAGCCCACATAATCAAGCCCCGCCCTAACTTTTTTTAGCCAGGTTTAGGCTTGGCTTGAATTACCGACTTTAGAAATGACTTATTCTAGAAATATAACAAGGATGGGACAAATTCAATAGTGGGGGTGGAGGCAAAAGGCTCTCCTAAAGTGAATTCCAATTATTGGGATAAATTTGTCAAGTGGTGCCATACTCCCAACAACAAGTAATTAATTTTTTTTATTAATATATATTGTTTTATTTAAATGTAAATTGATTTTTTTATTAATTTATAATTTAAATTTAAATATATTTTATTTATAAGAGGAAGTCTCCAAAAATGCTAAGAACAGCAAGAGCTAGTAGACGATCCACAATACTGGTGGCTCAAAAGGATTTGCCATTCACTACGATGATATGGTAAATATACAGTTTGATTGAATTTAATTTACTTGAATGAAATTTAATTGAATTTTAATTTTTATTAATTTAAAGGTTTGGATTGTATATTATAGGAGCAAGAAACTGTTGTGACGGGAAAAAAATGTTGATATGGGTGACCTTTAGTGGAGATGCACACAAATAAAGATGGATGCCCTCCTATCACATAAGGTTTAGAGCATGATTGTAAGTATTAAAATATTATTTTATATTATATTATTTAGTAATTGAAGTTAATATTGTTGACTTTTACAATTTGATTTAAATTTTAAATTTACATATTAGGATGCGGGAGACAACATTATCAAGCATTAGTGGAACTGGACCTATACACTCCACTTCAAGCTGCTTAATTACAACTCCTCCTGGTCAAGTGCATTGCATGGGTTTTGGTGCCATATTGACACAGGTATTTGATGCACATGGGAGGGTGACTTTTGAGACTGTAAGAAACTTTGGGTCAACTACTAGGAGAAAGAAGAGGCATGTGACTAACCCTGAGGATATTGCAAGGCAAGTGTAGATATGGGTTGACTTGGAACTCTCCCATTATCATCAGGTGTTTCAATTCATGAGGGTGAACCAGTTCCCTGACTAGCCCCTCCTAGACTTGCTAGCAGCAAAAGTAAGAGGTACGAGTCCATAAGACTAGCCCACAAGAAGCTGCGCCAGTTCCTGCCAAAGTCAGCCACCAGAGCATGAACAAAAGATGCCATAAAAAATTTTAAATTTCAAACATGGTAGCTGTTCAAGAACCACTACCAATGTTGGCTGACTTTATGAAATTTTCACATATTGTACTGGTTCTATAAACCACTACTATGTTCACACTAAAAACTTCAAACCAGTGAACAAAATTTTATGTCAGACTTCATTTTAGTTTTGGTATAGCAGTTTGTCTAAACCACTGCATATATTGTAGCATCTTGACTAAGGTAAAATCGCTATTATATACCTCACTATGTGTTGTATAATATGGGTTTGGCAAACCGTTACTAATGATATTTTTAGTAGTTTAAACCACTACTAAAATAGCTAAAACTACTACTAAATACATTTTTTGTAGTGTTTACAGTAGTTCTACACTAAAGCTATCCTTTTCAAACATTACTCAAGTAAACAAATCAACTAAATTATGGCCAAACACTTAGAAACATCAAAAAAAGAATAAAATAAACACTTATATATCATTATTGATCATAAAAAGAGAGAAGAAAAATGAGGTCTTGTTTAGTATGATGGAAATGGAATTAGAAAAAATGTTTGTTTAGTATGATGGAATTGGAAAATTTTTCAATTATAATTCGACAAAAATAGGTGGAATTAGCTTGCATGCTAAGTCGTAAAATTTTCAAATTCCATGTTGTACACCCCATTTTTGACTCTCCCACTTTCATTTAGCCACAATTACCTCCAATCTTCTCACTATCCTCCTCATCTGTCAGCAAACTTTTCACCCCACCGCTATTGCCAATAATAGTAATGACATTGTTGATGAAGCCATAGCAAATCTCGCTTTTGCAATCCTTACATTGTCATATTACCTTCACTTCTCTTTGATCAATGCTCTTAACACTAGCCATAGACACATTGATTGGATGCATCAAGGGCTTCTTCATGTCAAGCTCTTATGCATAAAAACATTGCAATTTTGGGCATTGAGGGCTCATTCGCATTTATCATGGTGGCTAACTAGTGAGGGATATGAACCTTTTGAGGGTAGGTTGGTGGGTCTCACTTCTAATGGCACCGGCGATGTCATTTTTGGTGGGGTTTACTTTTTAGTAGACATGTGGGTGGTTCTGACAATGTAATTTTTTAGGGAGGGTATTTTGGTCTTTCGAATAAAAACTATACCATGATTCCATAATATACTAGACATATTTTTAAACTTCACACCCATTTCTATATCCATCTCTATATCCATTTCCATCAAAATCACTTCTAATATACCAAATCAGACACAAATCTATACAAGGATTCAAAATCATTTTAGAGCAACGTATTTAATTTCTCATAATCATACACAAGGTATAATTATACATAATATTTGAACCTATATTAGATTACAAAAGAGATAAGCAAAAGAAATAGAAAAACTAAGAGAATTGAGGTCCAAATATCTTCAAATTTTCACTCCCTTGCTTCAAGTTCTTCCAACTCCAAAACCCTAGCTCACAAAGCTCCCAATGTTATGGTGGCTCAAAGCCTGAAGAAGAATGCATTTCAAGTTGAGCCCATGGCATATATGTATCAAACCCTTAGTTCTTCAACCAACCCAAACGTTTCATTTTGCTAGCCTCAGTGAAAGTCTTGAATAAAGTTGCAACTTTGTGATGACATTGTCTAGTTTTGCACATTTTTGCCAATTAGCATAACTAATAATCTTTAGACCTCAATTCTTCATTTAAAAACCTTCCAAAAGAATCACCAAAGATTCAGAAAAACTTTCAACCAAATCTTAAACCAAAATAGCACAAATTAAGTCCAAAAGTATAAAATTAAATTCAAATGTGTAAACCTAAAGTAAGATGCAAATTTTTCTAAGTCAGTTAATCAAATGCAGCTTGCTTGAATCATAACTGATTCTTTGGATCTTGAGACACATTAGGAGCATACTTTTTCTAGGTTTTGGCTTTGGATGAATTGGAACCAAATCTTGAAGCTTTGAAGACATTTGAAACTTCATTTCTTCAATTTCTTCATTTCTTCTCCATTTTCTTCTTGTGATCTGATATTGTTGGAAATATTTTGTGTATTTGTAGCTTTTAAATGATTAGAGGAGGTAATTTTAGTATTATGAAATACAAGGGGGATAAATAATCCTAGAATTCAATTTGTACTCAAAGTCTAAGGATCATTTTCTTTTCCATATTTTCTAGTTTTAATATAATTTTTAAAATCAATCTTGTTTAGCTAATTGTGTTTTGTTCAACTTAATTGAATTTGCATAGTATTTTGTTTGATCACCCTTTTTAACACAAATCTCTGTGGAAACAATTCTTTACTTACACTTTATGCATGCACTTGCAAAATCCAAGAGCCAACACAAGTTAATAATTAAATAGATAGGCGTGTGAAAACATTCCCACCAATACCTAATGAGCATTTTGGCTTGGGCTAGGAGTGTGAGCCTGAGTTCAACAATATGACGGTGTTTGCACTTGGCTCTTCCATTTTGTTTTGAGGTATGAGGAGATGAATGTCTAAAAATGATTCTCGATCTTTAATTATGTCTTGCAAATTTATGCATTCACCTCCCCAATCGCCTTGCATAATCTTCATTTTTTGACCAAACAAGTTTTCAACTTGGTTTTTAAACTAAATGAAAGCTCCCCTCTCTTCACTTTTATGTTTAAGTGGAAATATCCAAGTAAATTGATTATTGTAATCATCAATAATGTGAACATAAAAAGCCATTTGAAGGATGGACTGGAGATGGCCCCCAAACATCAATGTTTTTTACATGAGACATAAAATTATTAAATGGCAACTTATGCATTTTACCAAATTGGCATGCTTCACAAAATGAAGAATTATTTGCAAAGTTCAAATTACAAAGGTTCAAAAATATTACTTAAAACTTTAGAAAAGGGATGACCAAGATGTCGATGCCATATTTCAAGTTCATCACTTGAAGGCTTATTCTTCAACTAAATTGCCAAACATAATGTAGAGCTATGTAGATTATCAAATGCAATAGAATCTATTAACTACCATTCCTTTTAGCAAGATTATCCCCATTTCTTGTCTTTCACAAAGGGAACCCATAAGTGAAGTTCAATATAAGCATCATTATCAAAGGCAAGCTTAGATGCGCTAATTTGTTTACTAAGTCCTTTCATCCACATCACTTTTAATTTCTAGTAGACAAACTCAAATTACTTTTTATGAAACCATCTTGAGTTTGAGGGGTAATGTTATGATATATTATTGAATTTATTCTATTAAGATCTGTAGATATTTATACTTCAACTAAGGAATAGTTTTGTATTCACTAGTCATGATTATGATATTTATAAGATTTTAGTGGGACAGTATTTTTGTGTATAAATTATAAGATTTACATATTAATAGGGCACGATACTTTTTCAAGTCTCTCTTTTTCTCTTCTAACTGCTTTCACAAGGGAAGAAATGATGTTTGAAAAGACAAAGGCAACTAGGCGTATGTAATGATAGAGAATTGGATCTTTAGTTTGAAATTTTAAATAAATAAGGTAGATCGATTAGGTATTTGAAATTCTAAATGAATTGTAATAAAAAATTTGGTCCAAATAATGGATTTGCTCCAAATACAAATGGGGCAAAGCCAAAAAAAAAACTACAAAGGGGTCGTTGGAGATGAAATTATTATGCAATTTTAAATTTTCTTTACTTTAGAATAATTGCAATTGTTATTTCATATGGCTTACATTCGATGCTAACGATGATGTCAGAGAACAAGAAAAGCGAGGATTATGCTTTTTTTTTTTTCTATTTAAATCAAATCAGGCTATCAGTTGAATGGACTAGAAACACTAATGGGACTCAGCCTTCGAAGTTTCATATACCATTAATTAGTTTCAATCAAGATAGGCATAGTGGGCTTCAAATTCTCTAATAAATCCTTTTTGGAGTAAAACAACTACTTCAGACATCATTGGCCTTACTTCAGTAGATGCTTGAGTGCAAAGCAAACCAATCTCTATGATTTTCTTCACTTCTTCTGCATCATAATCATTAGGGTCCAAGGTATCGTCCACCAACTCTATGTGTATGCCTCTCTCATATAATTTCCAAGCCTAAGAATGACAAATAAAGTGGAATGATATAAGAAGGGATGCATAACTAAATAAAATAGATGGAGAAAAACATTGTTAATGTTTTTAATATTTTTTCTCTAATTAAGAACTAATAGCTTTACCAAAAGAACTAAACTAAGTTGTTAAAGCAGTCTTGAATCTAATTTTCTAATAAAAATGGCCTCTTCAAAAGTTTCATGGGAGTTTTCTCACTTTTTGAAGAAGGAATTCACCATCTGCATCACCATTGATTGTTAATTCTTGGCAATGTCGACCACTGATGATTTCCAAGACTACAACACCATAACTATATATATCAACCTTCTCTGATAATTGGCCATGTAGTACATACTCAGGTACTGTGTATCCTCTGACAAATGCACAATGAATTACAATGATTAGAACATTGTCTGAAGCACAAACACATAAATATTTAAGAAACCAAGCAAGCCATATTTTTATGGGAAATCTTTTTCCATACTAAGAGAAAACCGCAAAAGTATGAAATATAAATATGCAAAATAAAGGGTTGCATCATGTCTCAAATAAATACAAATTCTTTCCCGAATTATTCATGCTATATGGAAGCAAAAAGGAAAAAAGTTTAAAACTATTTAGAGGAGTAATAGGATGTTCCATTGACTTGTACATGTTTTTTTTTTCAATCAATATTTTCAATCGTCCTTGTAATGCACAAATATTACATTAACTTACAATGTTCCTGCAAATTTGGTGGTAAGATGAGATTTGTCCTCAGGCAAAAGCCTTGCCAATCCAAAATCAGCAATTCTAGGCTGAAGATTATCATTTAATAGGATGTTATTAATCTTTATGTCTCTATGTATGATACGAATATAAAATTCCTCATATAGATAAGTCAAGCCCTTGGCTGTCCCTAAAATTATATCATATCGTTGCCTCCAGTTAAGAGAACTTTTCTTCTTACCTATTTTCCAAGTTTGTACAATTTGAAGGGTATGATTAAGAAGCAGGGCCATACATAATTAAAAATCATTGTCAAATTGTTTCAATCAACAGAAAATTGATAATAAAGTTTACTACAAGTCCTTCAATAAGACTATGGCGTGAATAATTTTTTGTCAAGGGCGTCAATCA